GGCGTGCGTGACACGCGGCGAGCCGGCGAGCACGACATGCCTGCGAGTAGGAGGAGGAGGTTGGGTGCGCCTTCCGAGTGTTTTCATTACAAGTGACGCGCAGTGTCAACCTCTAATAAGTTAGTAGCGGGCGAGCACTCGCCTCGACATCTCAGATTTTGTTAATCACGGATCACACTTCACCGAGCTTTAATTACTGTACACGGCTAGCTCCTCGCACCAGTCGTAACTACCTAAGTATACAAAGTATACATTCTTAGACTGGCTGACCGAGCGTGACGTCACGACGGGGCTAAACTAATTGGCCAAGACTTCGTGGTACCGAACACAAACATTTATAATGTACGGTATGTACAGTACCAGTAGCTACTGATCAAGTAGTTGATCAATTAGTTAGTTGCGGGTGTTATCTGTACCTACGTACCTAAGGTCTTGTGTTTATGGATTCTTGAACAAACACAAATGCGCCTACCGAGCGGGAGATATACAGTTCGATTCCCAATCGGATAAAGTCTATTGAAGCGATGATATCTATTGCCAGCGGTACGCGTTCCCAGGGGTAACACGTAATCTATGTATTACTCTAGAGTTCTAGACCATAATCCACTTCTGTTTAAGTGACGCCCAATCAGACCATTCGTTTTTGCGTGATGAATAACTTCTCTCGTTTTCTCAACATTTCCCTTCACTGCTCTGCTCCTATTGGTTGTAGCTTGGTGAAAAGTAAACTATTACCAGCTCATGACATTTCGTTAAAATCCGTCGAGTAGTTTTTGTTTCTATAGTGGTTATACAGACTGATAGATAGTTCAACAAAAATTTTACTGATTGCATTTTTGGCATTAGTATCGATCACTAATCACCCCCTGGTAGTTATTTTGGAAATATATTTCATGTACAGAATTGACCTCTCTACAGATTTATTATATGTATAGGTAAAAGATATCGAGTATAAAAATGAAATCTACAATTGTACCAATAGCATGGTAATCAACGGACCTTACCCCTAAGTACATTCATTGGACTGTAATCACATTCGTGCACGGATTCCTATTTTAATAAATTGTAAATGAATGAAGTTAAATAGCAATCGTGCGAAAACGGGGCGGGCCGCTGGACTAAGTATATCTAAATAAATCATTCAATTTAATCATCAAACTTAAAAGCATTTATTTCAATTAAATCGGGGGCATCTTTGTCCAGCAGTGGACGTCTTCCGGCTGTTGATGATGATGATGATAATTTGATAGTTTTGTTTGAAACGTCAACAAATATAATTATATTCATTCATAACTGATCACTGGGTTATTTGAAACATTCTTAAAAGAAAAATTACGCCCTATTTATCCCAACATTTCTGTGGACAGTCTGTGCGATTGAGGCCGCTAGGACTACCTAGGACAAACTTTCCGTGTAATGACAGTTCCGGCGCAGACAGCGATGCGCAGTGGTAGTGTCCCCGGGAACTGTCTCCAATGAATATTTAGTGCAGGACGCGGCTCCTCCAGATCCCCAGTCGCTGCAGTTACGCTTGTCTGATGTATCCGGTTATTTATAAATTGTTACACAATCGCGCCTCCTGCCCGCGTACGTACAGTTAGCGCAGCTACTCTGTGCTAACACTAAACACTATCACATTGCCACTGGATATCACCACGCCATCACCGCGATTACTTTCCTACGCGGTAATGAGTTCTAGTACCTACTTTGAAAATTTTGAACCTGGAAACTTATTAATATTATGATAGGATGATAATATTATGAGAGGCATAATAATATCTACAGCTAGGTAGATACCAGTCCTTATTTCTTTTACATTAAACTCAGTGTTTTCATTCAGTATCAATCTACTTATTTATATTTAGGTATATCATGTATATATAATAAATAATTTATTCAGAAATGTAATTGCCTGCTCCATTTTCTAATGATTTATTTATTTAATTATTGTTATAGGTATATCAACAGCTTCTGTATTGTATTGCGCTTATACAGACACCAATTATAGGTTCAACCAACTTTAAATATATACTTAACTAGCAACCCGCCCCGGCTTCGCACGGGTGCAATATGTATATACATACAAACCTTCCTTAAGAATCACTCTATCTATTAAAAAAAACCGCCTCAAAATCCGTTGCGTAGTTTTAAAGATCTAAGCATACATACGGACATACAGCGAAAGCAACTTTGTTTTATACTATGTATGTATTGATATAGAAACGAACATGTGAAAAGAATTTTAATAAACTAAAAAATATAAAACTTACTTATGAAATCAACATACTTTTGTCAAAGGAAGTAATTAACACAAGAATAAGATTTAAAGAAAAATTAATAATTAACCAATTTATAGAAGAACATAAGAGCTTGCGTCAGTCGACAGTTTCGCAGAGTATTCATTTCAAAGCTTTGAAGACGTTTTCATCAGGACACCAGGGAGAAATATCCCCGACGATATATTCTAGGTGCTTTATGAAGGCTCTTTGGATGCTTTCTATTTTTGTGAATGTATAGCGAAGTGCGAGTTCGATACTACGTTGGCAAACTATAAATGGCTACGAACTAAGGCGTTATATAGGTCTCATCAGCTTAAACCCTCTAGTCCCTCTCTTAAGAAATCCAATAATATCCAGATCACGAACCTCACATACAGATTCCAATGAAGCTCCTCTTATTTTATAATTATGATACAGTTTTAGTTTGGCTCTTCCTACTACATTTCTATACAATAAGTTCCATGTGGTTCAGTGCACACCATTGCTCAATTCTATCTAAATCCTCTCGAATTACGGTAGTACCTACCTATCGTCATTAATGACAAATGAAAAGTATAAACCGGACTGGAGCAAGATGAGAGCCCTGAGTAACTCCTAAACCAGCACAGTACGGGTAAGATTCGTAGCCATTGACAACAAGTGTGAGATCTACGTGATAACACAACAACAACAAACACAACTACTTCGTTATATCTTGTCGAGTAACTGACGTCTTCCTCAAGGGTCACACATTGGACCGACGTATTTTGGTTAAAAAACTCTACGTATATTTTTCCCTCGGGGGTGATATATGACCTTACAATTTTCGGTCAACAGTTAGTATTTACCTTCCATCAATATTTACTTTTGACACAATGTGATTATAATTAATAGCAGAAAACAATTCCTTAGCTAAGACAACGTGAATTACCTAATTTTAAATTACGCTGTAATGAAAATGTAGGAAGGTGGTAATTAGTGAACCGACACTCATGGCATTTGACAAATTACTAAACGTCAATGAATGACTGCCTCGTTGGCCGAGTGGTCGCAAGTGCGACTGTCGGGCAAGGGGTCTCGGGTTCGATACCGGGGTCGGGTAAACTATTACTGGGTTTTTGAAATTTCTTAGTATTCGCACGGAGTCTGGAATTGTGCCCGGTATATGGCAGTAGGCTCACCACCTATTACATGGGACTCATAACATAAATAGTGAAAAGTGAGTGTTACATTGTATGGTGGCATTAAGAGCCGTAATGTGCACCTATGTCTACCCCTTTGGGATAAAACGCGTGATGTTATGTTATCAATGAATGAAATTCCGGCTCGTAACTCGTAACTCGTACTCAGCATGAAACAAACCATGCCCCTACCTGGCGCGGCATCTCTATTTGTTTTATTAATGTTTGATGTATAAACATTTTATGTACCAAACCTTTGTACTAATTGAAGGAAGACAATATCAAGTGCAGTGCACTAGTAATTGTAGTATGAGAGATACATATGTATGTGTACGTAGTGGAAGGTGTGTCCCGTCCTGCAGTCACGAGTGTGGGATGGAGCGCGACGTAGAGCGCGTGGAGTTCAAGAGCGCGCATCAATGATTTGGGTAAACAAAGCGCGCTGGCGAGCCCGCGAGCGCCACCGCCGCGTCCGCGCCGGCTTGCTAACATTACATTATTTTGTATCTATTTACGCAATCAGCTAAGCTAGGCCGCGCGCGTATCGCGAATTCCTTCAGATAAACTTTATTGTAACGCAATTCGGCAGCAGACGTAGGAGCCGACAATGCTCCGAGCGCTAATGTTAAGTAAACAAATCATTAGCAATCACAACGTGCGGTCACGTAGCCAGAACTACATATATACCTCTACAGTATCGCAGGGCTCCAGGCAGATCTAGCTCTAGCCTTTCGAGTCACCGATTTCAGCAATTTGTTACAGTCTCCTTTGAGTGCGTGAGATGCGTTCAGTGGACTTCAGCGCCATGTGTAGATAACACTATCGTGTTTACGAGTCGCGAGTTCTTTCTCCGCAGAGGTCGCGAGGGGGTCACGCGGGGGTCAGCAGCAGTAGCCTGCACGTTTCAGCGCGGATTGAGACCCCGTCTATCTAATAAAGCGTGTATGTTTGAACATAGATAACGTTTATCAACACATTCTAATGAATATAGTGTAGGCCCCGGGAGGAGGCGGCCACGGAGACGCGCCACCAGTACTCGTTGCTTCGAGCGTGTTTGTCACTCAAACTAAGTGATGAATATTCATCGAATACTTTACTAATAGCGCCGCTTCGGTAGTACACACTGATTCGCACATTTATGAATATCAATGAAATACAACGGCGTGCGGCGCACGCGCATCAGTGGCAACATGTTGACATGTAGCCATACACCTAGCAACCACCTGTTGTACACAGCGGTGCTTGTGCTGGAGACAACTTCACTACAGCTCTTGGAAGGGTCGTGAACTTACACATCTGTAAGTTCTCTCGCAGGTGCCTACGTCGCGCCGCCAGCAGGAGGCAGGTGCCGCGACCTGTTCGTGTTTACATCAAAGTCTCTTGATCACCTTGATCATGTTTTGACAAAATGCGTACAATCAATATTTACCTAAACACTTTTTATTAATGTACATACACACCTATTAGTTTTTATAGATGTTCATATTCCGTTTTTCATGATGAACTTTGGCTGAAATATGTAATCGAGTAGGAGTATTGTAGTAAATCGAGAGATACTCACGAATGGATTCGGAGATTGGTCGTGCGTATACCGGCGTCAAAATAGCGCCAAGGTCGACTGATATAATTGTAGAAAAATACGATGTCGTGGTGCGTGCGACGCGACGTGCACTCGGCGCGACACTGGAGCGGCGACTGACTGGACGAGTGCTACTGGCCGCGCGCGGTCACACACTGAACACTCCTCCGTACTCCGCGCCAGCTACAAGACAACAACACGCGGCCGTGTGCAGGAGGTCGCGCGCCGTGCGTGCGGCGCACTGTCGAGCCGACCTCCCCGCCCTGGTCGGGTAACACAGACTACCTGGCTGGCCAAGCAGACCAACTTTGTAGAAATACTTATGGACACCATGAGTCTCGTTGTGGGTGTGTCACGTCCAGTTGTCGATTATTCTGTTATGGGCCCCGTGGATAGGGGCACGTCTATAGCCATGGCCAGGTATGAATTGCAAATTCTGTGTTGTTATTGAGAGAAAACCAAAACGAATATCTACTACACTACTCGACCAAGGAATCAAACCCACTAAACAAAAACTGTGCGGTGAGTGATTGTTGACCATCATTCTTCCCGCGGGAGTCTTAAAGTAGGGTACAATGAGAGCGTCCTCTAATAAACTGCGAGCCTGCACCTAGCAGGTGTCAACATTGCATGCCCCCTTTTTGTAAAGGAGGCCTACAGTCCAACAGAAGACTCTCAAGTTATGGGTAGTTAATGATCATTAAAGTGTTTGAGAGACATAACATTATTATGTTTAACATCACGCCTTTTATCCCCAAAGGAATAGGCAGAGGTGCATATTATACCACTGTACAATGTAACACCCACTTTTCACTATTTATGTTATGAGTCCCATGTAATAGGGGGTGAGCCTATTGCCATATCCTGGGCGCAATTCCAGACTCCGTGCTACTACTGAGAATTTTTAAACAAACTCAGTAATACTTTGCCCGACCCGGGAATCGAACCCGAGACCCTTTGCCCGGTAGTCGCACTTGCGACCACTCGGTCAACGAGGCAGTCTGAGTGAGGCACTGTTTGAGAGAATAAATAGATATATAAGTTACATAGCTCCACTTATTATTCAGCGACTAGTGACTACATGCTCGCAGTGCCTCGTACATGTTTGTACAACGACCGGACTGCTTTATTTGTCCGCGGAGACGCGCGACAATTATTGATCACTTCCAATATTTCCTTATTTTGGAATCCCATCGCGATATGAGTGCAGTTGTTATTTTGTAGAAATTTTATGGCCGCTTCATAATTATAATGATGTTGATAACGGCCACGGTTCACTCGGGCCGGCTAACGACTGCCCCGGCCTCGGGTCTGTCACACCCCGCGCACACGTGAGCAGCCCTCAGCCCCGACATACGCAGCACTTTGTGAGAACCTTATAATACAGAGTGGCATAACATAACATCACGCTTTTAATTTGTCGAAGGGGTGACAGGGGTGCAATTTTAATGTAACACCCACTTTTTGCCAGTTATGTCGTAAACCTCATGTATTAGGGGAAAGACTATTGCTATATAGCGTACAAAAATCCAGTTTTCGTATTACTACTAAAACTATTGGTAAAAAACTATATATTGTGTAATAGTAAACAAAGTATTTGTTTATGTGTGCGAAAAAGGGAAACGAACTGATAATCTCTAGGTCGGCAGTAGCGGTTGCAACCACACAACCAACCAGTAATTATGCAGAGAACATAATTAATTAATGCGACGTGCTCACTATCTGTTATCGAACGTAATATTTATATCAATTAGATATCAGCCGCTAGCTAACTCGACGGATTACTGAACATCCCGAGCCTAGGTACACATTATACATATAGAATAGAGTCAGGCGGTACTTTGCGGAAATCCATGCCACACTGACAACTGAGAAATTATTAAATAGTTTAATTTTTTCGTCAGGTGTAGCTTATTATACGGACCTTGTGGGATCTAGAACGAATTTCCGTGCGTTTAGGCGCTTTTGCCATACCTATTATTGGAAGCAAGTATAAAAGCTGACACATAGGACTCACTTATTTTTTGTCAAATTTCCGTGGTACTTGGCGACTGGGCTTCACCGAGTTGTACAGTATCTTTTTTGTGCCTTTAAGCTTAATTCATTCTGTCTCCTGCAGTAATTCACCGAGGGAAGTAGAAACTATATTTTTTTCTTCTCTAATAATATCTTCTGATTCACTTCTTCACACTCGGGAACCAAGACAGTTACCCATGTCACTGGGACGAGCCAGACTTCAGTGTTCCGGTGTTTTCATGGTTGTATCTACTGTAGATCCTGGCTTACAGGAGTTGCAGCGGTTTTGGGAGGTTGTGGCGGGCTTGTCCTATTAAAAAAACTGAGAAATTATTTTGTTTTTATTACGCTGAAGGAATGAATTGGCTCCGAGTCAACAACTCCTGAGGATGCTTCGTGGAGAAGCAAAACGTATATCGGGAGTGGTTCGAGTAGTTTGTTGTGTGTCGTGTGTCAAATTCAAAATCATTTATTTCAATTAGGCCAGAATGGCACTTTTGAACGTCAACATAGAAATTAAAAGTGAAGCTATTTACTCATTCCAAGGTGGATTCCATCCTATGGAGAAAAACGACCAAGAAACTCCATAGGTTACTCTTTTTCAATCATGTTCACAATACAATTCTCTAATTACATAGTTTGGTTGTTTGGATTGTGCGAGAACAATGTAACACTAAAATACAGACAAATAGATCGAAAAAAAAATAACCTTATGGATAGTAAATAATACAGTCTGGAGCTGACCCAGTCCTAGTTGCCGGCGCCCGTTCACGAACATGACACGTACCCCAGCGCCGCCCAACTCGACCATGTTGTGGGGAATCGAGCGACCCGCTGCACGCCACCGCCAATGACAACTGTGTGGCGGCGCTGCACACTGTATCGACTGCATGCGAGCAAAAATTATTCCTTCAGCGGAATAAAAACTAAACATTTTCCCAGTTGCTAGTGTAGGTACACATGAATGACTTAGGACGCATAAATGAGACATTACCAGCCTCTAATGTGTAATACCCGTTAACTTGTGTATCTGCTAGTCCCTATAGTGGGGCAGGTTTCAGTTCGTGTTTTCGTAGATTCACACCGCGTACAACGAGTACGTATACAACAGTATCACGTGTCTGCCAGTGAAGGGAGGGTGTTAAATGAAAAGCTCATTAGTTAATAACTCCATGTTCTGTTATCTGTAACATCAACACATGATAGTTTGCCGAGTCATCAAGTCATCACAAACATTATTATTTATTACATTATTGTGTTGCATTCACATTTCCATTCGATGCTGAGCACAATTAGAAGGAATTAAATGATAACGGGAGCTGCGGCGCGATTACAATTAAACTAAACTACTTACATACAATCTGAGCGACCAGCGACATCTAGCGACCAGTAAGGAACGTCTTCCGTACATAACATAAATACAATTGTACATTGGCCAGCATGTCAACGTACTTCATCAGATTTTGAACTTTATTGTTTTGATAGTAAAGCGAAACTCCAATGAAAAAGTTTTTCAAGTTCACCAACAGGCTGGCCACTATACATTACAGGACAGGATTCAAAGTCAGTCATAATCATTTATTTCAATTAGATCAGAAAGGCATTTTTGAACGTTAACAAAAAATCGCCGTTTGCCGCAGCTCCAGTACCAGAACAAACACAACGTCTCATCAAATCTAATATTAAATGCCGTTTATTATGAATTATTACAAAAATATAACAATGGAAGTCATTCTGTTAATACTAAGTAAAATAATATTTAGTACTTTGTGTGGGTATAAATTAGGACTAATTAGTTATCTCCTGAAGTGTATAGTTACCTTACGTTGGAACTAGAGACTGGCCCTGCAGAGAGCGCCGCGTCCCTCACTCCGCTACATATCACAAGGGCAGGCACTTGTCGCTACTCCATACTACTCCATACTCCGGACTGCTGCACCCGGGGGCCACGGCTTATACAAACAGACAGATCTGGACGGGTCGGTACCGATCGGCGCAGGTATATTTCTATATAACTTATAAAAAAACAGATACCGAATGACCCAAGCGGAATGTTTCTTTGAAATATGTGCGATCGGTACCGATTCTGTTCCTGAAACCTGTTCTTTATGTAAGCACCCTAAGGCGGGGCCGACACTGTCCAGCGCACACTGCCGTACGTAGCGTACGTACGTACAGTCAGTGCGTGTAGTCCCCGCGTTACACCGCGCCGCACTGTAGGAGCCGAGGACCTCGCACAAGGCGAGGAGAAAGGAACAATACCAATATATTTATATTTACTAATTCATTCCCCTACTTACGAGTAGTTTTATTACTATTAGTAACAACAGTACAGTTGACTCCGGAAGGTCCTCCACTGCTAAAGTAAGACATCACATATACCTAAGCGTGCTGCACTGCACCGGTAGGTACGTGTCAACAGAATCGTTATCAAAATATAATTACATTACTTATCATTTAGTGAGGACTGTCGTGTCTTAAAATTATGCAAATTACATTTATACACGAGTGATAATAATTTGATGATCTTTGCTATGATGCACATGTGCCCAGCCAGTGGGTGGCGATACATAGACCAGTATTAGGTACTATAGCACTGTATAGACCTGGGACATTTCGAGTATATCTAGTAAAGTACGCATATGTTAACAAAACATATTTCCGTGAAGATAACATAATATATTTGTGTAATGAAAATATTTACAGTCACAGTTATCATCGCCTCCATTGTTTCTAACGTCATTAAGTACGCCTCTATAAAGATGTAGTAAACAAACAACGCATTAATTTGTAGTGACACAGCACGGGGCCGTTACTTAAGTATACAACTGTATTATCAAACTCACAAATGAGGGGTAGTACAAGTAATAGCGAGTTAGAGCGGGGGCTTAGGATGTGCGACTGTGGCGCCGCCGGTGGCAGAGTGGTGGAAGTGTGTGGAACATTACGCGTGTTGTGGTGACCTCACCGATGACATCCCTCGAATTACTGATACCCATCCATATTCTGATAAAGTACTTATCACACATGCCTCCAGTGAATTAAACAATTTACTCAAATATAGAGACCCGATACATTGTTATTTGTGCATGTAGAATGTAGAGTACAAGTATAAGAGATCACTGCGTAGTGGCGCTGTAATACTGGACGCTCAGTAGACTGGCTGGCGGGGGGCGGGAGCCGGCCCCGACCTGGAACAAAAAATACAACTTGCTTATAAACTTAAATGATAAAACTGAAATAATAGCGAGTTTTATTTCACCCCGGAGAGTTGTTTTGATCAAACCCAAGTAACAGCGGCACCGCGGAGGTGACCCGGGTGACGCGGGGACCTGGCCAGAATAAGTACGGTTGAATCTCCTACAATATACCTATTTCTATTCAGGTAAAGAGTTCCACACGTAGCGCCAACAGAGCGTATTCCACTATCGGTGCTAGAGTAGCTATTAGCTATTCTCCCAAATTATGAGGCGTTATAATAATCAGCTGTAATCGTTATCATAGTAGTCGGATTACAAGATAACCGAGACTCAGTCTGTACGTACCTACACACAGTGAACTTGGCCCGACGGTGTTACATCACGCAGTATTGAAATGGTTGCCCGGCGCCCGCAGTTAGGTACCCAACTACCGATTATTATAACTCCACACTATCAGTCACTCGCTGGATACTGAGTCTGCTCGTTCTGGATATTTCTCGTTTCTTTGTAGATATTTACATAATACCAATGTTATGAATGTGATAACTGAGATGTTTTTTTCCTCAATTAAACCAAAATGGATAACCAGATATGGAACAAAAGATATTTTAAATGCTCAAGTCTGTCAATTTATAAGTAAAAAGCAAAACTAAACAGATTCTGCCGAGCCTATAACCATACACCGGCACTAATCCAGAGTACCTGCCACTACAGCAATATTATGAAAAGAATTAAACCAAAAAGTACCAAGTATGATAAAACTGCATTACAATATGCGCCAAAAAGCGAAAAACATGCAGCACTTTATTTTATATGCTTATTTTTTATTACTTAATTATTTTTTTATGAATTAGGAGGCAAACGAGCATCATGATCACCTGATGGTAAGCGATTAGCGCCGCCTATAGACACCCGGAACACCAGAGGAGACACATGTGCGTTGTTAGCCTTTTAAAAACTACGCATATTTACAATGTAATTTTTAAGAACTTTATGAATTAACGCCCTAACTATTTTACATCACGAAAAATGTAGTGTTGTTAAAAACAAATAAACAATCAATGCAAATAATGAATTCAAAAAGCGTTACATATAGAGTAAAATTATTTAAATTATATTAATTAAATACGGTAATGATTAATTGAAAACTCCATAATAAAAACCGGCCAAGTGCGAGTCGGACTCGCGCACCGAGGGTTCCGTACAAACCTGCAAGATTTACAAAGTTCGTTCATTACGACAATCGAGTCATTAACTAAAAATGTAAGGTTTTCGGAATTTTTCCTTTATGTGTGCTATAAAACGTTGCTTCATGCCAAATTTCAAGATTCTAGGTCGACTGGAAGTACCCTTTAGGTTTTGATTCCCTTGCGAGTACTTGCGAGTTTCAAAATATGCAGCTTAAATTGCTGTTTCTTTTGATTGCGTTGACATAGAAATTTGATTTTGTTACAGCTTAAAGGTATTATAGACCTGAGTATTTGGTATGAATTTCAATTTAATACCTCTACGCGTTTATGAGGAAATGGGTAGTAAGTTTAAAATTATAAAAAAAATATATATTATGTGATGTAACTAAAAATTTATGGTTTTCGTAATTTTTCCTTTATCTATACTATAAGACGTTGCTTCGTACCAAATTTCAAGATTCTGAGTTCACGGGAAGCACCCTGTAGGTTTTGATTCCCTTGCAAGTGTCGAAAATTTGCGGCATAAACGGCTGTATCTTTTGATTGTGTTGGCTTAGAAGTTTGATTTTTTCACAGCTTCAAGGGACAGTAGACCTGAGTAATTGATATAAATTTCAGCTTCATACCTCCACGCGTTCCTGAGAAAAAGAGTCTTGACAGACGGACGGACGGACGGACGGACGGACGGACGGACAGACGGACAACAAAGTGATCCTATAAGGGTTCCGTTTTTTCCTTTTGAGGTACGGAACCCTAAAAAATGATATTTTTATACGCCAGTCACGTGACACGCGACGGTCAGTATCGACCAACGATGTGCTGATAACCAAACAAACTTGTTATAAAAGTTATGTCTTCGCTTCTTATAATCTCGCGACTGTTTTGGAGTTGAATGGCGTTATTTGTACAGAAGTCAATGATAACTATAATTTGTTGATTCGAATTGCAGAATGATAAAATATAAACATTATTTAGAAAACTTGACGTTTGTTTACTCATTGATAAGTACGTGACGTCACAAACTAATGCGACATCGGTCTGGAAGAAGCGTCAACGTATAATTTGAAATTTTAAGGTCAATATAGTTATGTAGAGGAAGTTATCGGAATGAAAATGACTAATTTAAATTTTTGTGTGTTCCATGGTCACTACTCACTACAAAGCACAAGTCTGTCGCTGCATGCGACACGATAGAACAATAACCCTTTACGCGGCGAAACACAAACTAAGAATTGACTTAACTTTGTTGGACGACACCACAATTCGCGCTGCAATTTGTTTAAGGCTTGGAGCTTCATTTTTCAAGATGTCAACAGCGTTGGACACCACGGCTTGTCGTGCAGCCGTAGTGCGGACCGTTCTAGTCGACACGCAAGTATTAAGGACATAATTCGTCGAGCTCTTGTCTCCGTTGGCGTGCCAGCTACTTTAGAACCTAATGGCTTGGTACGCGACGATCGCATGAGACCCGACGGTATGTCATTATTCCCTTAGAAGATGGGTAGGCCTTTAGTATGGGAAGCCACTTGCGTTCATACACTGGCACCATTCCATCTTCCAAACTCAGCGTGTCGAGCCGGTGCTGCCGCTGCTGCTGCCGAGAACCTCAAACGGCGAAAGTATTAGGATAGCCTGATTGGCAATTATGCTTTCGAACCGAGATGGTTTGTTGTTGAAACTTAAGGGGCCGTGGGGCCCGAGTGCACATCTTCTTTACAAAGATATTGTAAGTGTCAGTCAACGACTGTCAGTCAGAAGTGTCAACCATCCGGTTGACACTTCAGGTGATCGAAATGCTGGCTACCTTGAGCAAAGGTAATGGGCGAGGTAAAAGCATTGTCAATCAACGTGGCAATGCTGCCAGTCTTTTGGGTACCTTACCACATGATAGCGATGAGGACAATATTTTTGATGTCTTAAACTAACATTTTTTTTATTTCATTTAGACCTGAGGGCTCAGTACGAGCTTCTACTGTTTTACGTTAAAAGTAATCGAAACGAGACCACGTTCATGCTCTGATTGGTTGGTTCATTGGTCCCGGCGGTACCGAGGCCTCAGAAAGGTATGTACATTTGAAGTTTGAACATCAAGACAAAATATTAAAGATTTCAGTCTGTTGTTCAGTACTCCAGTGGAGTTATATTTCCTCTCGCGTCCGGCCCTAGTCCGGGCCATGATGCGGAGCGAGGAGGCCGGGGATGCCGTCTCCTCCTTTTGCGAAGCAGTCATGCTAACCAAGGAAGAGGCCTGGCGCGTGAGGCAGCGACGCGATGCATCCTCACAACCCAGTCGTCGTGAAGGACACTCCGAGCGTCGGGGATCGCGGTACGGCGAGCATGAGTAGCTCACCGCCCGATCAGAACCAGGCCTAAGGCCTAAAGAGCTATTAGACCATCACGGATGGGGCCCAATAAGGCTGATGCCGATACGAAGCCACGGAGAACTTAACGGGTTTCCGGGGCTCCGGCTCGAAGTGCAGAGTAAAAGTTAAGCTGCTGCTGATTTTACAACATAAAAGTTACACGGAAGCAGTTTGTTTGCTATTTAGATTCATATCAGCTTCGTCATCAGCTACAAGACGTGTGTTGCTGAATATATGCCTCCCGTAGACTTCCAGATAGGTCAGTTGTTTGTGGGCGACTTGTTTCCAGCGGCTCCCTGCACCTTTATAAAGTTGTCTATCTTGGTGATGGCAGATGGTAGCCCTGCACCGCGCTTGTAGTTACTTGGATAGTTTAAAATAAACGCGAATAAATTGAGCCTGAGCCTGCCTGTACAATATATATGATGTAGTAGCTTCTGCAAGCGACTTTGCAAGCGTTCCCGTGGGGTAAACGGTAGTCTATGACACACACAATATACCAGATATCTTCTAAGTTACCCCTGATCCAAATTTTCGTCCGTTTTGACGTGATTGAGTAACAACTAAATATACACACAAACTTAAAAACTTTCGCACTCGTAAGTCGTAACATAGCTGAGACGGTAGTCGGTACATACCAGGCGTGCGTGCACTATATGCAGGTAGTCTTGAGATGCATGGACAGCAGCCCCTTGGCCACGAACCCGCGCCCGCACAGCGCACACATGTACGGGCGCGCGCCGCTGTGGTACCTGCGGAGTATACCATTACTAGCCACTGCCACAGTGAGGTGGGTGCCTCGTACCCAGCTGTAGGATACTGACCGCTCGTGGATGACGAGTGTGGAGCGCTGACTGAATGCCTTCCCGCAGTGCGAGCAGACGTGAGGTTTCTCCCCCGAGTGCACGCGCTCGTGTAACGTCAGGTTGCACTTCTTCACGAACCCCTTCCCACACGTTCTGAAACACGGATACGAACATTTATTTTACAATCTCAAACCCACTTAAGACGGATGCAAGAAAATAATCAATACAAAAAAAAAACACTCAAATTATCAGTTGTTTCAGAGTTGATAATTTAAGTGGTTTTTTAACTAAAATCGCGGGTTACTCACGTGAATATACTGAGAAAAGCTCTACTAGTTTCGAAGCACGTCGCCGCGTTGCGCGACTTCGCCGATTTTCTCAGTACATTCACGAGAGTAACCCGCGATTTTAGTTAACTTAGTCTCACAATAGTTATTATAAAAACATAAGTGATTTTTTTACGATTTTACATTATTTTTTTTTAAATTTTACAAGTGAGGTTACGATAACCTGACTTTATCAATGTAAAATTTTATATTTTGTATTAGTTCAGTAATTTGGTAAGTCTTTGTCGTAAAATGCACATGAAAAGAGATATTGTAAAAAAAACTGTTGGGCGTCATTTTTCTAAGATGGCGGCGCGAGCGGCACACGTACAGTGCAAAATGAAAATCGAAAAGAGCACATCAAGTGTGGGAGAGTCATGTTTCGGCACGAATGGACCGGCTCGACCGGAGTGATACTACGGCCTCACAGAACATTGACGTGAAGCAACGCTTGCGTTTTGTTTCGTCGTGTGAGTGAGGTTACCGGAGGCCCAATTATCCTCCCCTTCCCCAATCTCCCCAATTTCTGAATCCCCAACAATTCTCAAACTCCTAATCCCCAAAACGCCGGTAATGCACCAGTCACGCCTCCGGTGTTCCAGGTGTTCATGGGCGACGCCGATTGCTTACCATCAGGTGATCCGTCTGTTAGTATACCGGCTTATGCCATAAAAAATAAATCAAACGGAAATAATCGATTTTCAAAACTCCCAGAAAACTTTCCAGGTAACCTCCATATTTCCTACTTAATTATCGGAGTATATGTGCTAAACTTGAATACAGTTAATTGAAAATGAAACTTTTATTAATATCGCACATTTCAGGAACGAAGAAGCTGACCTCTTTCGTCTGATCGAAGTATACAAACGCGCGCGCAAAATCTGTGAAATCTTACTAGACGTACTAAGTACAAAACTTTTAAGTTATTATAACAGTGACTTACTTGCAGACGTTGGGCTTGTATCCGGTGTGTATGCGGATGTGGAACTTGAGGTGTTCGCGCGAGGACAGCGCCTTGCCGCAGACGTTGCAGAGGAAGTTCCGCTCCCCCGAGTGGGAGCGCAGGTGGCGGCGCAACGAGTTGATGTGGGCGAAGTGACGCTCGCACACACTGCAGCGCAGCGCCACCGCGCGCCCCGCCGCCTCGGGGTGCACGCGGGTGCGGTGCGACAGTAGGTAGCTGCGGGGGACGCTACGCTCTTATATAGCCACTACACACACACTGCAGCGCAGCGCCACCGCGCGCCCCGCCGCCTCGGGGTGCACGCGGGTGCGGTGCGACAGTAGGTAGCTGCGGGGGACGCTACGCTCTTATATAGCCACTACACACACACTGCAGCGCAGCGCCACCGCGCGCCCCGCCGCCTCGGGGTGCACGCGGGTGCGGTGCGACAGTAGGTAGCTGCGGGGGACGCTACGCTCTTATATACCCACTACACACACACTGCAGCGCAGCGCCACCGCGCGCCCCGCCGCCTCGGGGTGCACGCGGGTGCGGTGCGACAGTAGGTAGCTGCGGGGGACGCTACGCTCTTATATAGCCACTACACACACACTGCAGCGCAGCGCCACCGCGCGCCCCGCCGCCTCGGGGTGCACGCGGGTGCGGTGCGACAGTAGGTAGCTGCGGGGGACGCTACGCTCTTATATACCCACTACACACACACTGCAGCGCAGCGCCACCGCGCGCCCCGCCGCCTCGGGGTGCACGCGGGTGCGGTGCGACAGTAGGTAGCTGCGGGGGACGCTACGCTCTTATATAGCCACTACACACACACTGCAGCGCAGCGCCACCGCGCGCCCCGCCGCCTCGGGGTGCACGCGGGTGCGGTGCGACAGTAGGTAGCTGCGGGGGACGCTACGCTCTTATATAGCCACTACACACACACTGCAGCGCAGCGCCACCGCGCGCCCCGCCGCCTCGGGGTGCACGCGGGTGCGGTGCGACAGTAGGTAGCTGCGGGGGACGCTACGCTCTTATATAGCCACTACACACACACTGCAGCGCAGCGCCACCGCGCGCCCCGCCGCCTCGGGGTGCACGCGGGTGCGGTGCGACAGTAGGTAGCTGCGGGGGACGCTACGCTCTTATATAGCCACTACACACACACTGCAGCGCAGCGCCACCGCGCGCCCCGCCGCCTCGGGGTGCACGCGGGTGCGGTGCGACAGTAGGTAGCTGCGGGGGACGCTACGCTCTTATATAGCCACTACACACACACTGCAGCGCAGCGCCACCGCGCGCCCCGCCGCCTCGGGGTGCACGCGGGTGCGGTGCGACAGTAGGTAGCTGCGGGGGACGCTACGCTCTTATATAGCCACTACACACACACTGCAGCGCAGCGCCACCGCGCGCCCCGCCGCCTCGGGGTGCACGCGGGTGCGGTGCGACAGTAGGTAGCTGCGGGGGACGCTACGCTCTTATATAGCCACTACACACACACTGCAGCGCAGCGCCACCGCGCGCCCCGCCGCCTCGGGGTGCACGCGGGTGCGGTGCGACAGTAGGTAGCTGCGGGGGACGCTACGCTCTTATATAGCCACTACACACACACTGCAGCGCAGCGCCACCGCGCGCCCCGCCGCCTCGGGGTGCACGCGGGTGCGGTGCGACAGTAGGTAGCTGCGGGGGACGCTACGCTCTTATATAGCCACTACACACACACTGCAGCGCAGCGCCACCGCGCGCCCCGCCGCCTCGGGGTGCACGCGGGTGCGGTGCGACAGTAGGTAGCTGCGGGGGACGCTACGCTCTTATATAGCCACTACACACACACTGCAGCGCAGCGCCACCGCGCGCCCCGCCGCCTCGGGGTGCACGCGGGTGCGGTGCGACAGTAGGTAGCTGCGGGGGACGCTACGCTCTTATATAGCCACTACACACACACTGCAGCGCAGCGCCACCGCGCGCCCCGCCGCCTCGGGGTGCACGCGGGTGCGGTGCGACAGTAGGTAGCTGCGGGGGACGCTACGCTTTTATATAGCCACTACACACACACTGCAGCGCAGCGCCACCGCGCGCCCCGCCGCCTCGGGGTGCACGCGGGTGCGGTGCGACAGTAGGTAGCTGCGGGGGACGCTACGCTCTTATATAGCCACTACACACACACTGCAGCGCAGCGCCACCGCGCGCCCCGCCGCCTCGGGGTGCACGCGGGTGCGGTGCGACAGTAGGTAGCTGCGGGGGACGCTACGCTCTTATATAGCCACTACACACGAGTATTGTGGAGTGTGACCTCGGACACATAGGAAAGCTTTGCTTCGACACGAATAGGAATTAGTTGCATTTCGCCGAGTTAGTAAAGTTACCGGAAGTGAATCCTACCCACCAATCCCCAATTTATCCTCCCCTTTTTTTTAAAGGGGGAAAATCATCGAATTTCTTCTCCCGCCTGGGTGAGGCGAGAGGGAGTGTCAGACTCTTACTGACTAAAAACCACCCCGTTCCTTCTCCTGCATGTCAAGCCGAAGCCCCGGCTACCCGTTAAGTTCTCCGCGACACTATCCTCCCCTTAGATGCATTTCCTTAGTGCATGCAGGGATAGTCGCCCGCGTATTCATTCACAGCATTTAAATTAAAGTTGTATACAGGACTTCTGCTTGGTTTACTTCAGTCCGTAGTACGCCTCTCAAATGAATGGTCTCGCGATTGATAAAGACATACATAAAATAATATTTGAGGAGAATCGGTTGTGGACCTCGATACCCGTTCAAGGAAAACCGTCAACAGGATCAATGAGCGATGTGATCTCGTCAAAGCAATCACCGAATGAAAGCGACCGCACCTGTGGTTAGAGGTTCGCCAACGGGAACTAAAGTCTCTTCTCTAGTAAACTATTGAGTAATGTCAATTTATGGGACATTCCACGGTTGCCGCGGTGACTGTGTTAGTGTGATCCACAAATTGTTGTTCCGAGTCTGGGTTTCATGAGCAAGTGACATTGTACATTTGTGAAGGCACCTACGACACAGGAAAAATCCTTGTGTGGGGCGATGGTTTTTGTAAAATCAATATTGATTAACTAGCTATTGCAGAATTTGGGTCTTTGAATCAGTTTTTTTCCAAGGTATATTCTACAGCTGCACCAAAGTCATCAGAATCGATCCAGTGCAAAAGTTAGATTTATTGTGAAATTAATTCGTTATCGTGGTTTTCATAAAATAAATACATTTCAAATAAATACACACACAGGGATTTTACCAGTACAGAATCAGTACCCGTTCTCGTAAGGTTTTAGTGACAATATCGACTATTGTTGTACCGAATCTCTTTAAAATAAGTTCAGCGGTTTAAGAGATTAAGAGTTCCGGGGCTTTAACACACAGTTCCCATTCCCGTGGGATTTCAGGAATAAAAATCTTCATATATCGTTTTTAGAATAACTATCGTGAGACATTTAATTCAGTATTAACTAAAAATCGCGGGTTTCTCACTTGAATATACTGAGAAAAGCTCTACTAGTTTCGAACCACAACCGAGGGTAACCGTGATATGTAGCAGTGGGAATGTACTTATGTAGATATCATTATCATCAACAGCCTACAAACGCCCACTGCTGAGCAAAGCGTCTTCTAACACGGAGAAGGTTTAAGCATTAATGGGTTGGCGATTACAAACTCCTGGCCACCACAACATACGGTATGTAGATATGTAGATATTGCTGCAGACAGATTTAGCCGTAAGATTATAAAATTTTAGGAAGACACTTGTGTGACCAACAAACGCATAGTCGCTTTTTTTCTTAGATTATTTATTTAACCAACAAAATCAACAATTTTCAGGCTTTCCCCGCTGTCAAAGGTACAAGATTCCCAATCATACCAGTTTTGTTAAAGTAGTTGACGCACAATCAGTGACATTTACCAAATGGCTATAAGGTAATACGAATTTCAGTGAAAAATGACGAATTGCAGTGTAAAAATATTAGCAAAGGATAATGTTACTTTCCATCTGTGAGTAGTATGTCTTAATATTAACTGAAACTTATAATGCAATAAATTAGTCAAAAACAAAAAAATATAGTCTGTCTATGTAAGTGTTGCCATTACGACATCGTGACACAACAAATTTAGTACAATTACGTACAAGATCCAATTTTGTACAGGTTTCAAAGTTGTAATTTATAAATCTTGACTATTATTTCAAATGTATATTAAAGCATTCTGTATTCTTATTACTACTGTTTATTTTTTTTTTTAATTAAGGAGATTTAAGGAGAGAAATAAAGGAGTGCTCGTTACCTCTCACAAACATCCAGTGTTAAGTATTGTGATTTCTGATTTAGCAGTTTCACTTCTATATGAGTTATCAGCCCCTAGATATAATTATCGTAAAGCCGACTATATTAACTTAAATAATTTCTTCTCTAATATTAACTGGTCATCAGCTTTGAACACTTTTAAAACTAATGATTCCGTTTATAATTTTTATGAAACCGTTCAAGCGGGTATCGATAAATATGTGTCTATTAACCGAAAAATAAGCTCGCGTCAATATCCTCCTTGGTATAGTAGTTCACTCATAAGAATAATTAAGGAAAAAGTAAGGCACATTCGCGCTGGAAGCGTTTTAGAAATCTACTGGACTACGACGAATTTGTTATGTTATGGGCGCGACAGCGGCGAGTTCAGAGAATTTGCTTTAGTGAGTATATGCTAAAGACCGAACAAGCTGTGATAAAGAATCCTAAAATGTTTTGGAGCAATATCAAGAGTATGCGTGGAGGCTCGAATTACCCAAAAATAATGTCTCATGGTAATGTAAATTATACTGAGGAACATGAAATCACACAAGCTTTCAATGAATTTTTCCATGGTGTATTTAGCAAAGCGACTGATTGTAGTTCTCCGATTATTTTTAAAGAGAACGAAGATTGTTCGAACATAATTTGTGATTTACAATTTACCTCGTCTAGAGTGGAGGGGGCGTTGAGGGAGTTAAGCGTTGATAAAGGACCTGGTTGTGACGGAGTGCCTCCACTATTCTGGAAACACTATTCAAAAACGTTAGCACTACCGATGACCTTAATATTTAATACATTATTTAAAAAAGGTGTTTTTCCTGAGGAATGGAAAAAGGCACACATTGTTCCAATACAAAAAAAGGGCTCGCGAACGGTTATTGAGAATTATAGGGGTATTTCTATACTTAACACCTTGGGCAAAGTATTTGAGAAGCTGGTTTATAAAGCAATTTATCCCTATATACTCAGAGGCATATCTGACAAGCAGCACGGTTTCTTAAAAAGGCGATCCACTGTCTCGAACTTAGCAAGTTTCTCAAATTTTGTCCTTAGGAACACAGGCGGAGAAGGACAGGTGGATGTTATCTATACGGATTTTGAAAAAGCCTTCGATCGTGTAGATCATGATATACTGCTGAGCAAATTGTATAGACTGGGCATAAGGGGGGACCTTTTAAGGTGGGTTCAATCATATTTATTTAAAAGGTCGCAAGCTGTGGTGATGGGTGGGTACCGCTCAAACTTTGTTGATATACCTAGTGGCGTTCCACAAGGTTCTCACTTGGGGCCTCTTTTCTACAATGCGTATTTGTTCGATATTACTAACTGCTTTAAATATTCCGAACACTTAATGTATGCAGACGACAAGAAAATTTTCTATAAAATAAGGTCAATTGATGATTGCATCAATTGACCTTATTTTATAGAAAACTACCTTATACCCGCGGCTTCGCTCGCGTCACAAAAGGATAAAAAGCCAATGTGACATATACCAATACACACAGCGCCATCTATACCAATACTTCTGTTTGTACCCTATTATTTAATCCGGACTTCTAACTATACATCTTCAAAAATTCAAAGCAATCGGTTTAGTAGTTATGGCGTAAAAGCGGAACAAACAAACTAGTGAGTTTGTTTGTTTTTTTTCCGATTTATAATATTATATTAGTAAGGATTTTCTTCTTCCTGAGTATTTGTTTGACCTTTGTAATTTGCATGATTATTACATTTCAAACAAAATAACTGTTAACGTAACAAAGTGTCAATATATTTGTTATACACGAAAGGAGAACCCTGTAACCTACGACTATCACTTTAATGGTATCATTATTAGTAAAGCCGTGGCAATACGAGATCTAGGAGTCTTGTTTATTACGCCACGCCACTTATATTAAACAATTAGAACGTATTCAACGTATATTTGTCAACCACCTCAATTATCGCCTTCGTAAAGCTCCGATGTCCTATGAAGACAGCTGTCGATCGTATGGACTGCTAACACTCGAAGAAAGACAAGAGTAATGGATATGTGTTTACTATACGATATAATTAATGGCCGCTTGTATTGCCCCGAGTTGGTCCAGCAAATAACGTTGAACGTTCCCAGAAGACGCACTCGCCATACGCCGATGATACATGTACCTCGGCGCTCGACTAAATATGGAAATAATTGTGTACTGACTCGCATTGCCCGAACACACAATAATAACTTCGCCGGAATAGATCTATTCAGTTGTGCCAAACCTATATGTAAAGAACACATCATTAAATGTATTAATAAAAGCAATCAGGACACCGACTCTGTACCTTGAAACATTATTCCAAAATCTAAGTCTTTATAATTAACTAACTGATTAAGTAAATCATTTTTGGTTATTGATCTTATTTTGTTAAGTTAATTAAGTCCGTTCGCATATTTACAAAATCTAGAAAATAAGGGAAACCTATTATTAGCCTTAATATCTGTAATTCACGCAAACTATTGTAAACTACATGTAACACTGTTGGTTTTCTAAATAAATAAAATTATAACATTTTTGTACTCTACCATTTCAATAATTGTTGTTTATTATCAGATAATTAAACTGTCAAACACCAAGCGGTCACCGGTGCCCGCAATCTATTGTTCTATAATTGTGTCTAGAGGTATAATGACGGTACTCGACGAGTTAATTAATGATATTGAACTTTATATTCCATTTATCTCTCAAAATTATCTTATAACTTTATTCTTAATTATTATTGTTAAAAATGTAATATCTACAGAATATATTACATGTGCTACCATCTGTCATGCATTGGTTGTAACTTCCCTTGTATTAAAATATATAGATTCTGTTGCCATTCATTCTGAGAACAGTTGTTTTATTTTAATTATAAAATATTTGCATGTCAACTTATACCGATATGTACGTAATTTTAGTAAAAACATTTGTAAAACTGGAGCAAATTAAGAGGTGTGACAACACACAAATAAATATTGATATCGACTTACATACTTTTATTCTGACTATTGACTTATATTCAATTTTTTTCAGATTTACAAAATATGTTATGACTGAGGATGTCTGATTCGAGTTTGTGCAAATCTTCTTTCGTGAACTTCTGAACGTATTAGCATAGTTTGCTCACAGCACTTCGAAGATTCATGTTTCAATCTAATAACAAGCGGAAATTAAAAGAATATAGTTACCATCGCCATCTTTAAAATTACGTGCGTACAGTGCGGTGTTGCGTCAGGGCATAGAATATTACATTCCACTCTCGGACGCAACATCCTTCGGTGGCTTTTGCCCATGGTTTGACGCCGAGGCACTAAAACATGGCGCATACGTGGCATACTTCAAAGGGATATTCGACCCGGATAAACTAAATACGTTTAACGATATTGAGACGTTACCGCGTTCACCGCTGTGATTAGCCTGCTCCAATGAACCAACCAATCAGAGTGCTTAACGCGGTGGCGCATGGCGTCTCGATCTCGTCAGTAATGAAACAAAGCTCGGACTAGTGTCTAAAGGGTATCGATATGTTTGTTATTTTGTAATAACGGCATCAAATTGCATTAGTGTATTATTACTACTTGTGTGCTTTCCCTCGTCCCCCGCGCCGGTAGTCGTAACATGTATATAAATACTGTAAGCTATTACTTCGTCAGGCGAGCACTATGTCATGTTCCTGCCGACTCACCGCATGTGTACGAATGCCTCCGGACAGAGGTCACACAGGAACCGTTTGTCGGCTGGCTCGGCGGACGCACCCGCCTCGTAGTTGTGGGTCTCTCCTGTAACAGTACGCGTATATGTGGAGACTTTATACATATTGATTGTACGGCAGGCAGTGTCACAGGTTTCATACCCGCTTTGGGCGAAAAATGTAAATCGTTACTTCTGATAAAATTATCATCATGGTCGGGAAATTTGGCAGGGGCAGAGTACCGAGACTCGGTGATCGCATAAAGCTGTTGTAGCTCGTCAGTCCTGGCGGTCTACCGTCCACCGGATTCATAGTCAGAGTGTACCTAAGTTTGCACACACACTTGTGCACTACAATAATTATATCTCTTGTGTAGTGTGCTAGTTTAGTTACACAGATTGACAAACATAATGAAAATCGATGTGGGGACAGTTTCCGTTGTATGAATGCAGCGGGTGGTGTACCGGCGGTACTGACCGTGTTTGAGTATCTGGTGCGGGTCGCGGAACGTCTTCTCGCACAGCTTGCAGCGGTAGGGGCGGCGGTCGCGCTCCCAGTGCCGCGCCCAGTGCGCGCCCCACTCCGCGCGGGGCACCACCTGCCCACGGCACATCAACCTTATTTATTACGTACTTTTCGAATGCTTTGAAATGATCAAACTAGTTGGTTGTCAATTAAATTAATATCAATTCATAAATCCTTTTGTGAAATATTGCTGCTACTTTTCGTTAACAATACTAAATTGTACAGTGTACGATGAATGAAAAGAGCTGTTTTAACTCGTCGAGTAAGTGAGTAAGTAAGTACTTTATTAGCCTTTCAGGAAACAATGAAAATTGATACTTCGACGTGTTTTTTTTTAATTTTTTGCATTTGTATGTAATAATATTTGGAAATGTAATAGTATGAACTATGAGGAACAAACCTTCCTGCACCTAGTACAGCGCAGCGGCTCCAGCTCCGGCGCGGGCGGCGGCTGCGGGGCCTCCGCGCACGACGCCTCGGCGCCGTGCTGTCTGGGACCACACTCAATATAATTAGTAGTAATTAATAGTTCAGCCACAACAAATTCTTAGTAAAATGACAAAGATAGCATGATGTTTAAGTACAATTGAACATTGCGTAGCATTTCTGTATTGGGGTGAAGTCAAGCAGCAGGGGTCACTCCATCCCTCAAGGTTTCTATTATTGACATTCCCAATCTTGAAGTTATGGCTTTTTGGTAGTCATCCTTGACTACAGAAAACAGATACTTATCATAATAATTGTTAAATATTAACATAAAACCTGCTTTATTATGATAAGAATCGACAAGTTATAATTATATTCTATTTTTGAGCGCCATCAAAAAACAAAGTAGGTACATAATGCTAAGGTATATAATTATGTACCTTAGGTCAAAATACATTGCAGATAAAAACAAATGAAAAAAAAATCTCAAAACTTCAGCCAATTTACAACTTTGGTGTGCTGAACACATTTAAATTTTTTTGTTTATTATAATCTAAATATTCATCAGTCAGTTGTGAACATTTGAACAACTACTACATTCAATTAATAGATTGAATAGATGGCAGCTGTATCACAATGCTTGTAACTCAGAGCAGTTACATTACTTGTGAAATACTGCACCAGGATAGTTACCTGTAGTGCTTCATCATCTCAGACCTACTAAAACACTGGGCAAAACAAATGCAGCAGTTGTACAGATCTATCTCCTTCCCGTGCCCGTCCTTGTCTACCAGCACCTCCTCCTTGATGCTGGTCAGTGGTACGTCCACCTCCTCCTTACTGACTACTGTGAGTGCACCATCAGGCAGGTAGTTCATCAGTTCCCCCCAATCTTTGATATTATTAGTCTTCTTTTTTCTACCTCTTTTGTGAGTGGTCTTTTTTGTTTTTAGATTAATTAATGAGATATCCTCACTCCCTGATGAGCCTCCCCCGTATGGATCCGACTCTATGTTATAATAATCATCTTCTTCTTGTTTGACAGGGGATAGTGGAACGATCTTTGGTTCTTCTTTGACCTGAACAGCGGCATTGCAGTCAGAGCTTGCATCTGTGTTGTCGGTCTGGGTACTTCTCTCACAGTGCTCTGCCGGGGCAGGAGCTGGCGGTGGTGATCTGCTGTCTTTTACTAGTGTGAGGTCCACAGAGCCATCTGTACCCGCTCCAGACTGCAAAAATAAACTGCGCAACCTGAAATCAGCATTACATCTTGTGTTATATCATAAACATGATTATTAATTGTTTACATATAATGTGGACAGCTACAGTATTCAATGCAAGTTTGTTTGTTTACTTAGAAGTAGGTGGCAAAACCAAAACAATGTCACTTTTTATTTACTGAGCAAAAATTTTGCTCTTGCTCTGGATTTCATATGCAAACCTATAGTATATACTTTTCTTCTCTTTATCAATGAACACAATAATTAAATATTAGCATGAGTTCCACTTCCATCAATGATATTAATAACATTTATCAAACACAACACTCACCTGTTTTGTACTTCAATGGTTTCGTTACAAAACTGATAAAAGTCGTTCACTTTGCAGCTACATTTATCGCACACCTTCTGGGGAAGTTTGTCGTTTCTGAAAACCTACCAATAAACATTAATATCATTAATCATATAGGTTAAAGCATCACACACAAAACGTAACATCACAAAACTAATTTTACCTTTATTGGCAAGTATAGTGACAATTTTAGATATAACGCATTTTCTTCATCAAAAATATCATTGTTGACAAACTTCGTTGAACAGCATAATCGACAAATTTCATCAATGTCCATTATTATTTAAAACAAAATAAATAAGCGATCCGTCCGTACGTACTGTTTATTCCGCAGGAAAGTGACAGATGGCAGCCATTTGTCAAATATTGACCTTTCTCAGGAATGAGTTGCCAAGTAGTAAATGAGGCGAGTATTATGTGAGACCTAAACCAAAAATATTACTGTACGTAGATTGTTAGTTATGTATAGAAGCAGGGGTGGGCGGTGGCGGAGATGGAGGATGTGAGGCGCTGCGCCAAACTTTTGATTAATGAACACAATGTTTGTAAAGTTAACTTACTTCAGTTAAATTGCTAATATTCACAACATTGAAAACTTTCGTAATGTGCTGCTAACTTTATGTTGGAGATTTTCGATGTCATTTTGTTTAAATTCGATTTTAGTAAAATAAATGAAAAACTATATCATGTATTCTTCCGTAATGACATCATTTATAAATGAAACATTAAATTAAAATATGAATTTTAGGTTATTTCGACTTTAAACCCCCCATGATAACGAACGGAAAAATGCCTATAGGTAAATATGTTTTTATTCGAGAAATATTTAGATACAACATACTTACATAATATCTAGTCCCAGAGATATCAGGTCTATAGTTTTAAGAGTTTTAATATTGGTTTTTTAGTGTGTGTTCTATGCGATACCTAACCCCTACAGTTTTTATCATAGTCTTTTATCGTCACCATTATCATCTAAGGCTAGAAAATTGTATCATTTAATTATTTTGTGTTTAATCTTAAGGGCTAGTTAAACCTATAAACGGTTTAGCTGCTTTATTTTTTGTACTGAATTTTGTTTCCTATAATAGGGCTGACATTTTCTCTAAGGAAAAATTCTTCTTATTAAATAACGATTAAAAAAAGCATCAGTACATATCTAAAATTAAAAGTGCAAAGTAAAAATCAGTAAAATATAAGTTGAATGTGTGTAGGTAGGTACATGTATTTAATTATATGTAGTTGTGAACCTACGTACCTAGTCCGAACACTTGTTTACTAACTGCCGAGAAGGTAGGAAAATCATGTAGGTAACATGAACAGACTGTCGATTTTCCTACCTTTTCTAGGTAATAGGTATTATTCTCAACGAATACCTAATATGTAAAGGAATCTAAATACATTATGTATGCTTATAACAATTCATTTAAGAAAATAATTGTATGTGTAGTGATTGAGTACCTAGTCGTTCGTAACAGTACAGAGCCACAGAATAAGATAAAGAATAAGAAGGTACCTTTACCTAGTACAGGCACAAGTAAAGGTTTCAATTATTTCTGAAATGTACACTTGCGCTCTGTATGTTGATGTGAAGGGCCAGCCACACGTGTCACAGTGGAAACTTGGATTCGCGGCGTTTAATATTCTTCATCTCATCAATAGCAGCTACGGAAACTTGAAGGTACCCTACTTAAAGATAGGTATAATAATAATAGAGAGCAATGATTTCGTCATCTAGTAATATATGTTGTAGTAATTACATTAACATGAGCAAGGTATAACTTCCTGAAGCGAGTAGTTTTCGCGCGATAGCTCGCGATAAAAGCGTTGACTGCCACTTATCTTTATCTTTATCGTGCGCCTTCAGCAAATAAAGTGTAAAAAACGAGATAAAACCGAGGTACCATTGTGGCTCAAGTAACGGCGCATGCTCGTATATACCTACATTTTCTCCACACTACTCCACAGTCACACACTCAGTCTCAGTCAGGAATATGCTCAATGTTTCCAAAAACTTGGCACACGTAACAAACGGTTGTAAGTGCCGTATGTGTCCTTCATTACTTAAACAAAACGAAAGCCCATTTTGCTAACTATTATTTGCCTGACAACACAGGGTGAATCATTCGCTGGAATTGTTACAACTTTCTTATCAGATTAATACTTTTTATATTATGTTAACTGGACGTCAAAAGTATATACTCAATAAACGCCATACGAGCAATGAGCACCTCTGCTTATCCTTTCGGGAAATATACGGCGTACTCGGTACTCTTATGATTCCCAAGTGACACAACATTCTATCCAGACTTGCTGTCAAGTGCGAGAGATTACTGACATTATGGCACAACAACAACAAATTACTCTTGAATAACAAACCTAACCAAATCAAACAAGGTTTGTTACCTTATTCAAAAGTAATTCAAACTCCACGCTTTGCAATTGTATATCAGCACTTTTTCCACTGAGACTCCACATAACTTTTATCTATGTGCTGTTCGCCTCGCAGCCAGGCTCAGGACTACCATGTTGTTGCAGTTCCATTCCTATAGAATTAATTACTATAGTTGTAATAACATGTACGTAATATATATAACATGTGGTCATCAATCAACGCTGAGTTATTTTCGTAAATGTAAGAGTAATTAACTATTGGTACTAAGTATAAACAATAGAGTACAATGTGTACTTTCATTGTCCATGTAAAGAATGCTAATTATAGTTTTCCAGACCCAAGAATCGAATCTGAACCTTGCATTGCAATTGCAGTTCTGTTTCGATCACTTTACAAACAAAGCAATTTGAGTTTGTGATGTATGATGTATCACAAACTCAAACTTATGTTTGACACTTAATTGATTCCACATATTGAAGTAGTTTGACCAAGTCAACCAACTACCAAACATATCGCACTATGGTAAGCGGTCACCTTAGCCTAGAGGCCTAATTACATCTGCAACGTCTGTAACACCAGAAGCAAAAACAACACGAGTTCGTTGCCGACCACGTAATTTTCATTAATAATTTCGTAATTTATACACTTTTATTTTTAAAGAACCTTACTTCGTGAAGCTGCAAGTGCTTAATTTATTATGGAATAAGAAGGCAAACGAGCAGACAGATCACCTGATGATAAGTGATCGACACCATCCATGGACATTGGACACCCGCAACACCAGAGGGGTCTCAAATGGTAGTTAGCCTTTTGGAGAACACAGAATAGGGATTTGAGGATAGGGAATCTGATTTCTTGATCAGTGTATTAGTTTGAGTAGACACAAATGTAACTTTCGAGTCTTTCTTGTATATGGACATACTACAGTACGATTCTTGGTCGTACAAAGTTATATTGGGATTTTGATTTTTCATTTGTTATAGATTTAGAAGCGAAGATTACCCCTTCAAAAAACAAATAGTGTTATATTAAATTAAAAACTTTTTAATAATAGTATGTCGTTAGTGAACAGTTTGCAGTTGCAGCCATTCCGAGAACCGCAGCTACAGCTATGACTACTGTGTATGTGCAAACGTACTGTTAGCAGCGGTGTTCTTGATCGTGGTGTAAGATTACCTTATACATTTTTTTACATAACACGAAATAAAACCTCCGTAATTGTTTCCCGGAGTGTGCCTACTTACTCCTTAAGTATAATAATCTAGTAGTTCATATAATGCCTTATGTTATTTGCAAGCCTAAATTAGTATTGACCATTTCGAAACCTGAAAAACATAAAAGGCTAGGAACACGTTGGCTATCGCGCTCGTGTCTACATGTTGAATGACGCGACGCAGTCCTAATAAATAAGTGCAGCTTGAGCAATCTAATTGTGAATTGTACATCATCAGGTTATTGAAGTCCATTATCCTCGGCAAAAAGTAATTTAGAGAAAGTTTATCTGGAACCTGTGGAATGATAACGAAAAATGGGTTCAGGTGTGGCTGTTATCAGATAAGGCGTCAGGCGGCGGGTGGCGACCGAGCTCACACCCGGGCCCTAATCTCATGCGTGTTCCATTCCCAGGGACTAGGTGACAAACATTTCTTGTAGATAGGAATGTATGTACATTTATCACTTATTTTGCAGTCCTATTTAAAGTAAAGTAAGACCACGAGGAAATGTCAAGTGTTTGGATGACTGAGACTCTGTCAGATTACAGCTAAGCAACTGGGACCTATGACAGTCAAATAAGACATGAAATAATAATCTTCTTCTTATTCGACTACAGTTCTCAATTTCAGCTAGGTTTTGTCACGAGAAAATCTAGCTACCTACACCGCATGCTACGTAAGTCCCGAAGGATAGGGAGATTTCAATTACATGTTTAAAAATTACATCAATTACATGCTTCCAACAGTTTAGTAAAACGGTTAATCCGCCTTGAGTAATGTAAGCGTAGTGGTGGGGGAGGGGAGAGGGGGGAAGGGTGCTTTACCCGATTAGTGGATGATGATCTATCCCTTTGGAGAATAAAAGGTGTGATGTTATGTCTTACATCTTAATGAACAGTAAAAAAGTACTTGACAGTCTTTTTTTATGGAGTAGGAGGCAAACGAGCAAACGGATCACCTGATGGTAAGAGTAGGTACAGTCTGAAGTGATGTTCGTTAATTCTGGGACTTGGAACTATTAGACAGGATTATTTGAACAACATAACATTCAATCTTGCATGTTTACATTATCTACATTGTAACTTCAATTACTTAGAATGCCATGTGGAAGCGCGGAGTCAAGCGCGGAGTCCTAGCACAAGCAATCCATTGCTTAAAAGGTGATCTCCAATAATTTTATCAAATGCCTATTGTAATTTAAATAAACTTTTTCATTTTATTTTAACGTAACCGACGGATAGTTGGTGCAGCTACTATTGATGTATGTTGTTGATGTACAGTTGTACTATTGGCGGCGATGCCAATGATGGAATGTGTAGGTAGCTCATCACATGTTACATCATCCGTGAAGGCTATATGCATATATGCGTTTGCACCTCATCATAATGTGTTTCACCATACTTACGTAATTAAAACTAGTCATAGACCATGACTGATTAGTATAATATTAAACTGGTTATTTTTCTCAGTATATAGATCTAGATGGGTATAATAATCTCACCAATGGTGCAAATTTCCTCCTCTGAAACCTTTTAGACCTCCTAGCGCTAATGATGACAGTTTGCTCTCCACTGATTTTGCTACACTTCGGTTGTGGTTAATTCAGATAAAAATATGGAATATTGAAGCATCATTTTACTAATTTATTTACGTAGTTGCTGCGACGATATTAGTCTTAATGTTAATGCTCCAGTAGAAGTTGCACAGCTCAGAGTATGTAAGACTAGGTCCCTGCGTGACTGTCACAAACGTAGGAGATGTTTACTCAGTGTGTCCTTGCATTGAATTCCTCCATATATCGTGTCATATGTCTAT